GGATGGAGGTGGGGGTGGGGCTGGGGGGATTGGGATGGGGGGATGCGGGCAGGGATGGGGCACTGGCATGGAGGGTCCCGTAGCCGGGCTGTGAATACCATATTCCAGTGTTTCCATGTTAGCAGAACACTGAGCCCCTTGAGAGAATTTTGCAAACTCAGACACGTATCATTAAGGGCACCTTTGTTTCTCAAAATACAACAGCAGAAATGAAAACTACGGATGAATTAATAACAGATACACTTCAGCAAAGCAATTTTTAAAATGTCATGTTAGCATGCACGGAAAAGGGCCTATCTTTTAACATAAATCTTAATAATTCTTCTCCTGTGGGTTTTTCCAAGAAACTATTCCTAGATGTATAATGTTTTTGCTGTCACAATTGCTCTTCAGAAGATTTCATCATTTAAAATCACATCTCATATGAAAACAAAAAGCTATTTGGGTCAGGAAATCATCACCAGATAGCCAGAAAGAGTTTCATATATAAACATAATGTCTGAACATAAAGTCAAGAAGTCTGTATTGGTCACACAGCAGAGGCTGGGGACACTACGGAAACGCCACGTCAGAGCTCCTTCCCAAGCAGAAATAAACTGCATTTGAACTACTCACCATTACCCACACCCGAGCCTGTCTTCCTCTCTGGTCTGCTGTGCCCTGGGATGCACAGAGACCGTTGCAAGAGGGAGGCTCCTGGGCCTTTGGTATCAAAAATCTACGTCGTCAGGCTCCCAACGATAAGAGGTGCTGTTCACAGGAAAGCCACCTCCGACACCTAATTCACACCATCGTCTGATGATAATCACTCGTTTTTTAAGCGAGTATTTACTGAGCATCGAACACGATGCCTCAGTGCCCTGGGCTCTGGGATCACAGCAGTGAGCCTGCAGCAAGAAGCTCACACCATCCGGGCAGAGACGCAGCCCTGCGGGCACACAGGCGCTCACAGGAAACCCGGCAGGGCCAGGGGAGGAGGACGGGGTGCTGGCCCCAGTGGACGCACGGCTCAAGAGCCATCGTGCATGGAGAGAGGGAAAGGCCACGTGAGATTCCAGATGTGGTTAAACACCAATGGGCTCAAGAACCTTGCTCAATGCTTCCACAAGTCTCCATGTTTGTTCCTGACACCCACCTGATGGAACAGGAATCGGTACTGTCCTCATCGCCTAAGGCTCATCAATGGTCGTCACCGCCAGGGGGGACGTGGGCTTTCATCCGAGCCCACCCTCTGCTCTGAGCTCAGTGCGGCCACATCTCTGGAAGCGCCTGTGCTCTGGGGACCGTCCACCACGGCTGCAGGCCAGAGGCCAGGGGGCCGAGCTCTGCGGGCGGGTCTGGACCTTCCAGACCCGGCTCGGCAGGAACTTCTCCTTAAGACAACGAGACAGTTTCAGATGAAACTGTTTCAACGAAACGGCCAAGCCACAGACTACCTTGTTTCTGACAGCGAAACACGAGCTGGGAGGAAGGGAGATCGCGGAGCAAAGAAAGCCACGAGCAGGGACTTCAGGATGAGTGTCGAGGAGAGAAGGAAACGGGCACTTAAACCCTAGATGGATGCTCCAGTCAAGAAACCCAAGAATGGGACTTCCCTGGTGGGCCAGTGGTTGAGACTCCACGCTTCCAATGCAGGAGCCGTGGGTTTGATCCCTGGTCGGGGAACTAAGATCCAGAGGACAAAACATAAAATTTTAAAAAAGAAAAAAAAAAGAAACCCAAGAATAACAGCAAGGGTCCTCAAGCATCGGCACAGTGACAAAGAAGGGGACAGTCGTTAGGGATCTGGGGCACTAAACTGGACGTACGTAGGAAAGCCACCTTCCAGGAAGGTGTTCCAGGAGCCCGGGGCCCAGCACCACTCGGCTGGGGGGCTTGGGAACAAAGGCCAATATGGGGACGAGGCTCCCAGCACCTGAGGGACTAGGGAGGTGGGCCGAAGAGGAGGGCGTCAGAGATGGATTCTTCTCTTCTGTTGTGAGATTAGGACAGTTGAGTTAATTAAACCATCAGGCTTTAATTAGAGGCCATTAGACAAGCTCTAAGCAAACCAGGCCTCCGCCTGGCCTGCAGACGCCTCAGGGTTGAGAAATCCACACCCAGGACAACCAGTCACAGAGGGCTGGTCCTCCCCAAATAAGGTGACACTTAACCTGTAGCCAATCGCATAATTTCCCTGCTTTGTTTCTGCATCTTCTCTATAAAAGCCTGGCCCTCAGCTCCTGGCTGGTGTCTCCTGACCACTCCCACTGTGGCACTGCCTGATTTGAACAGAATTTTGCTCAAATCAAACTGCTACATTTTTTAAATGCCTCAGTTATGTTTCAACAGAACTCAGAGTTTATAAGAACAGCCGATCACATAATTGGTGCTAATGAAGAAGATTTTATTTCTAGATGAAAGCTTAATAGACCAAAATAATATCTGCTATATTTTGGTATCTAGGGGAAAAAAGCATGTATACACCACCATATTAGTGGTTTTCTTTGAAACCCTGGATCACCTTTAGGTTTTAGATGTCTGGATCTTCTCTAAGTTCTAAATAAATACGCAGAAGTTTAAAAAGTTTATAATTAGAAAACAATAAAAAATGTATATACAGGGCTTCCCTGGTGGTGCAGCGGTTGAGAGTCCGCCTGCCGATGCAGGGGACGCGCGTTCGTGCCCCGGTCTGGGAAGATCCCACGTGCCGCGGAGCGGCTGGGCCCGTGGGCCGTGGCCGCTGAGCCTGCGCGTCCGGAGCCTGTGCTCCGCAACGGGAGAGGCCACAACAGTGAGAGGCCCGCGAACCGCAAGAAACAAAAACAAACAAACAAAAATGTATATACATGTACATGAGTATCTCATGAGGACTGAGAAATACATTTGCCTGGACACGAGCTGATCAAATAATGAAGCCTTTAAATGGAGCATGAAGTTAGACAAATGTCCAGATGGGCGGTTAAACTGATAACCGTAAAACCTATCAGAGGTCTTACAGAAAGAAGAAAAACAGTGGTAGAAACGCCCAGAGTTTCAAACAAGAAAAAACTGAGATGATGTTTGGAAACATATGACAGAGCTTCCAATACCTATTTATCAAACCACACAACACAGTTACCGACAGAGTTAGCGAGAGATTTCACGTCGGGGCAAAAACACATTTCTGAGAGTTGGTGAGCGAGGACTTCCAGACAAAATACTGTTCGAGAGGAACAGCTCTGAGCACACGTGGGAGTGACCCGCCACGTGGGGCAGCCTGGCGGGCCCCCGTGTGCAGAGAGAAGGGCAGATTGGATGGGCCCTCACCTGGGGGAGAGTTTATGTACGTGGGTGATGCCGATCACAGAATGATTAGGAAGACAGAAATAATGAGGGAATTGTCAAAAACCTAGATAGTGGCTGCAAGTCCCAACTAAAACTAGAACCTCTGATACACTTAGAATCTCGGATACACTTTTCCCTTGACTTAATTTTTTTTTCATATTCATTTATTTATGTATTTGGCCACGTCGGGTCTTAGTTGCAGCACTCGGGATCTTCTGTCGTGGTGGGCAGGCTCTTCATTGTGGAGCACGGGCTCTAGGGCGCGAGCTCGGTAGTTGCGGCGCTTGGGCTTAGTTGGCCCGTGGCATGGGGGATCTTAGTTCCCCGACCAGGGATCGAACCCACATCCCCTGCACTGGAAGGCGGATTACTTAACCACTGGACCACCAGGAAAGCCCCTGACTTACTGATAATTTAATCTCACAGAAAGCCGAGCTAACTGCAACGTAGGGTCTAACTCTGATCACCTGGGGGAAAGGCAGAGCCCAGGGGCAGAGATGTCCAGCAGGTGAGGACTCCGAAGTAAGTGCCCACAAGACAGACTGCCTGTGGTCAGGCTTGAACTCCGAAGTGTAAAAGAACTGATTTGAAAAGTTCCAAGAACATATGCATGACCTGAAACTCAAAAGGAAAGATGCTCCAAGAGCAGGGGTTTCCAGAACGAGGTTCTAAGCACACAAATGCGAAATACCTCAGCGGATGATAATGCACAGGCACCTAAAGGCGCTGATGTGATGCCCCAGGAAGCGGCCAAAAGGACTCCACGAAAGGATCGGGAGAAGGGCCCTAAGAAGAACATATCACGGCCTTGGCAATTCAAGAAGCTGAAGACCAGAATGAGCTTAAATTAAACTGGCAAAAATGCTAACGACCAAAAAAAAAAGTGTGTGTGTGTAGCGGGTGCGGCTTCAAGGTACGCTCGAGAAAGGAAGGACGAGAGAGGCGCGGAGCTGCCGTTTGGGGTGGATGGAGGTCCTCAGACACAGGAAGAAAGGGAAGGGCCACCTTCCGACGGGAAAGGAAGAACGAAGCCCCTTGACAGAAGGGAAACGGGGTGGTGGGGGGGAGACTGGGATTTAGAGATCAAACCACTCCTCCCCACAGGCTGAACCCACCCCAGCAGACAGAGGAAAAGAACAGCTGAAATGCAACCAATAATCTGACAGATTGGGCTTCCCTGGTGGCGCAGTGGTTGAGGGTCCACCTGCCGATGCAGGGGACACGGGTTTGTGCCCCGGTCCGGGCAGATCCCACATGCCGCGGAGCGGCTGGGCCCGCGAGCCATGGCCGCTGAGCCTGTGCTCCGCAGCGGGAGAGGCCACGGCAGTGAGAGGCCTGCGTACCGCAAAAAAAAAGAAAAAATCTGACAGATCCTGGTGAACCTGGGATCAGGGTCAACTCAACAGGCCAAAGAAGGGCACGTCTAGTCCTCATTTTCATAAAGAACACAACAACACGCCTTGCAGATCATCTGGAAAATCCTAGAACAGTGTATTCGATGAAAGGCTGACTTAGGAGAGGAAGTGAGACCGAGGAAGTGTCTCTTCCAGGAGATGCTGGCTATAGTCAGTTACAGCAGAGACGATGGGGCAGCCGGGGAACAGTCTGGATGGAGGAATGAGAGACGCTCAGATCTCATCTGGCATCCGTCAAGCTCCCCCTGGATGTCCTGGGCAACAGGATGGAGCGATGGGGGCAGCGTGACACTCGTGCGAATCACGGGATCACTGAGTTTAGAGTGCCTGGGACAGTTTCTTTAGTGAGCTGGGAACGTTAAATGAGGTGGCAGACTTAGAAAGGCACATCTGAAATCTGTGACAGGAGGAATAGGAAAAAAAAAACGTAGAGCGCAGCCTTTCAAACAAGAAGATAACCCTGAGCTACCTCCTGGGGTCGTGTAGAAAGGACACCGTCATTTTTCTTTCTTTCTTTCTTTCTTTTTTTTTTTTTCCCTGCTGCACAGCTTGTGGGATCTTCATTCCCGGACCAGAGATTGAACCCAGGCCCGTGGCATTGAGAGTGTGGAATCCTAACCACTGGACCACCAAGGAACTGAGATCATCATTTTCTATGTAGCCCCTCAAAACACAGAGCAAGGGTTTGAAGTCACAGAAGACAGCGAGGATGCTGTGGAGCCAGGGCACAGGGGCCACAGGGGTCCAAGCAGAGGCCAGTGGCCACTTGTCAAGGATGGGGACTCAGCAGGATAAACGTAAGGGCCTTATCAGTTGCTGCTGTAACCAATCACCCCAAACTTCATGGCAAAAACCCGGTGTCAGCAGGGCTGGGTCCTTCTGGTGGCACCGGGGGAGAACGTTTCCTTGCCGCTTCCAGGTTCCAGGAGCTGCTTGCATTTCCCGGCTTGCGGTCCCCTCCTCAGGTCACTCTGCTCCCTGGTTCCGACCTCACATCTCCTTGGGCTCCTCTTCCCTCCCTTACATGAAGATCCTTGTGATTATACTGGGCCCACCAGGATAATTCAAACACCTTTAAACCTTTAATTTAATTCCATCCGTAAGATCCCCTTTGCAATGTAAGGAAACGTATTCTCAAACTTCAGGGATCAGGAAATGGACTTCCTTGGGGGAGCCATTATTCTGTCTAGCACGGGCGTGCTTCAGCCTCAGAGATTCCATGAACGCTTCCCTGGGAGGCCTGCGGCTGAAGAGTCTGTCCTCCTCTGTGACAATGGCCCTGACACACCGTCCCGGAACCTTCAGATCTAAACCGTAAAATAATTCTTCTGAAGATACTGACAAAGTTGACCATGTCAGCTTGGGTACAAGTTTAACGTAGTTAATTATAAACACTGAACAGATACCAATCTTTTGCAAAAACACGCATGTTAACTCAACAATTAAATATTAACTTTTTAGTAGCCTGTAAAGTTTATTTCCTTGCAAACCCCTGCTTACGGGCTTCGCTAACGATTTAAACAGAGCGACATACATGACCACGGAACCTGGTGATGACCCTAGAGCTGCAGGCCAGCTCTGGGGAAAAGGCACGAACACTGGCGGGAAAGTCATGATTACAATACGATTGCACAGAATCTGCTGTCACTCTGCTCCTTCTGTGCACATTTAATCACCAGGCATTTTCCCTTGTCTCCAAACGCAACCAGAAGTTAGTCTTTCAAACACAGCTTCCCACTTACACCTTCTTTCAAATTCAGGCCCAAAGGAGAGGTTTTTAAAAAGGTCTATCAAATTAGAAAATAATTTCCCCCCCTGTATTTCAAGTCAAGAGAAAACCTATCCACACAGATTATAATCAAACACAGTGTAGGAACAATAAAGCCACAGGTAACACTTCTGATCAACCGTTTCTAGCCCTTAGTATATTAAGTACATTTCTGCAGGACTGTTAACCAGAAGGAAAGCTCACTAAACAGGAGGAGTTAAGGTCAGCGAGCGGGTGGGGTGGAAGCCCCCGGAGGCAGACCCCAGCTTCCCACACCAGGGTCTAGCTGCAGAGAGCCAGGCCCCGGTCGCCTGGCAGGCCCTTGGGGTTGTCACCTTGCTGTCCTTGTCTGGCTTGGCCGCTGAGCCGCTGTCGGGAGAGGTGGGCGGCCCGGGGAGCATGGTGACCGGGCGACCGCCAGGCTCGGTCTCCAGGGAGGCGGCGGGGAGGCTCGGCGGGGCCGCAGCGCAGGCCAGCGGGGCGCCGACCCGGCCCAGGCTGCCAGCAGCCACGTGGGCAGGGGGACCCATCGGGCCGGGGGGCTGAGGCGAGGCCACGGGGTGATGGGGCAGCCCCGCAGCGCTCTGAACCTGGATGGGCGTCACGGCCGCCGTGGGGCGCTCCTGGCCGTGTGCCGAGACTGGAGAACGGGAAAGAAGAGCAGAGTGTGACTTGGATGCCTGCTGCTCGCCGACCCCGCACCAGACCAGCGCGCCTGTCACAATGGTTGAGAAACCACGGTGGTTTAGGAGCGCTTACTTAGTCTTGGCAGGGCCCCTGGACACCACCCTTCCAGATCCCGGATCAGCCCCACGTCTGCTGAGTGCCTGCGAGCCCACTCCACCCGGGGACCCAGCGACACCCCTACAGGGTCAGGTCAGGCTGGCCCCAGAGCTTTTTTATTATCATCATTCTCCCTTTTCTCAGTAACCATTTTCCTTCCTTTGGTTATCCTGATAGAACTGGACAGTTTTCTCCACCACTGTCACCTAAGGCTCTTGGGGAGGTTTTCAATGCTGTGGGAAGAAGAAAGCTATTTGAGGTCCGCTGGGTCTGAAGCAGAGCTGTGACGAAGCTCATACCAGACACTCAGCATGCGATCCTCAGGGCGCCACGCCGCTGCAGCAGTGGGATTCAGGACCATCTGATCTCGAGCACAGGAGTCACATTTTCAAGTACTACGGACATTGCTAGGTCCACCTAATTGCCTTCAGACTCTCCACCTGTAGATCAGGCTTGAATTCATGAGCCAGGCAGGCGGAGTCAAGTGGCTGTGACTAGACTGTGCCTGCCTGTCTCCTAACATTATTATTTTAAAGTTCCACCTGTCCTTCTCAGCATCTGTTGTAAAAGGTCTGATGTTGGTCAGGGCCCCCTTCCTGGTGCCACCAGCCCAGCCCCCCTACCTGTCCTCACAGCGCTGCGCGCCTGGTTGACGGTCATCTGTCCGGACATGTGCAGCAGGACCTTGGCCTGGGGACTTGTCTGGATGTGAGCTGCTGACACCACGGCAGTGGGGACCCCGGGACCGCCGGCCATGCCGTTCCCCGGGGGCTTCTGGGCAGGCGCTCCTGAGGGGGAAGGGCTGGCCGGTCCCCCCCCTCGACTTGTCTGGCCAGCGGTCGACACGGGGACTTTACCCTGGGAAGCGCTGGTCACTGCCCTGCCGAGACAGAAGCCCAGTCCATCAGCAAGACAGGAGACGGAACAATTAACCACCAGAAAAACGATGCAGAGCTTACAAACAGAACACGTTAGGAAGTGAATGGAACCATCTGCCCAAGGGTAAGAAGAACAGATTCAAAGGACGACAGCCCTGAGGCAGAGAACGGTCTGGAAACTGAGTCGGAGAAAATCACACGTCACTCTGCTCAAGGACATACAGTTCCTGGTCTCAGCTCCCACCTGAAGCTAAACATCCCCACCAGCTTCCAGGCCCTGGAGAAGCCGGTCTGTTAGACGACAGTGTCTATGTTGTCAGGGCTGTGTTCACGTGCCCTGCCCTCCTCCCTAACTGCCCCGTGTACACGTGCGTGTGTGCACACACTTTGCAACGTCCCCTCTGGCTTCCTTCGAACTACCTTAATCTCATTCCTGTTTCAATCCTGTCATTCCCAGCAGCCTGGCCGAAGGCTCAGGCCTAAGATCTCAAGGTTCCACTCCGTTTCAGGCGCATTTCTTCCTTCTATGACCCTTGATTACAAAGTACGATGTGTTATTTTTTAGTAAATTCCTTATCAGATACTCCTGACTCAGTAAAAGTTCCCTGAAAGCAGGGCCATGTGCAACGGTTCTTTTCATTCCTTTTGTACATGCACTGCCATAGGGGTACAGCCAGCTATCAACAAATATTTACTGGTCGAATTTAACTAAATTAGGTTCAGTGTAGTTTTACGTATCGTATTTTTTTAAGATTCTAAATTCATTTAAACAACAACTCTATAGTAACTTTCTACCAAGCAGAAAACTTCATTAACTTGAACCTCCTTATTATTTACTATGAGGAATAACAGAGAGTTTACTGTCAGTAAGCATCTCGCCAGAGACTTTTGGATAATTTGTATTTGAATCTTATGAAAATGGTTTCCTTCGCTAACTTGATTTTTTTGTTGTTGCCTGGTTTATCTCCCTTAGTTGTTGTGGCTTTTCGTTTGTTTTCTTCCCACCAGGGAAGATCTAGCTGCCATCTTCTGGATGTGAATGTAGATTTTAACATATACCGAGAAGAAATTTTATAGTGATGAAAAATCTGCAAGTCAAATGAAAGCTAACATTCTGTCACCTTCTGCAAACAGAATGATTTTCATTTGATTAGGCTGCTGGCCAGCCTCTGAATCAAGGCCAACAGCTGACAACATGTCAGTTCATTAAACTATTTACTTACAATCAGGGACTTTGAGAAATGATTTAACACAGTTAAGCTGGCTCTTCATAAATGGGCCAAAACTGGCGTTTCCTCAATGATGATGCCATTATAGGTCATCGCATTCGTTCCAAAGCTACTTTCCTCAGTGCCCAGAAAGGGGACTACCTTTAAATAAAGTGAAGACTATATATCTATACATCTAAAGCTCTTCCTTCCTACTATCCTCAAACACGGTTTCTCAACCTTGGTGACATTTGGGGCCAGAGAGCTCCTTTCTGCGCAGGCTGTTGCCGTGCCCTGCAGGTGTCCTGTACCTCCCTGGTTTCTGTGTGCTGGGGACCAGTAGCACTCCCACCCCGCATCGTGACAATCAAAAATGTGTCCAGACATTGCCAGATTCCCCTGGGGAGCAAAACTGCCCTCATCTGAGAAGGGCGAAGGAGCTATGTCATATTGAAGGAATTCTGTTTCTGACTGTATTACAGAAAATAATTGTGAGAATTCAGAGGTGGCCGCCAAGCTACTGGAGCAAACGGCTGGCTTTCAGCACCTCTTCACCAGGTGACCTCAGACGAGTTGCTTAACCTCTCCACCGCTACGGGCTCAACTGCTGAGTGGGGATCGCAACAGCACATACATCATCAGGGAGCTGTTTAAGGACGTGGCATTAACGTGCGTAACGCATTTAGAAATCTGCGTGTCTGGCATCTCGTAAGCATCACATAAACGTTGGAGTATTAATGATATCGCTTTTATTTATATTAAATGCTATATTTTTAATTTTCTAGCAGAAAAATATTGAAACTGGTGCCGTTGAGTCTTCTCACACGTAACTTAAAGCAAATAATTTAAAACCCAGTACATTTATTGGTAGAAACCTACAATTTCACATACATCCATGCGAAGAGTAAGCTAAAATTCTGAGAATTAGAAGGGATTTCGGCAAATACAGATAGGGATCTTTAAAATGTTGGCTGTGTAACAAGCAATTGTAGTGGGAGGAGGAATCTTGGGCGGGCTGAAAAACATGCGAAAGGACAAAGCTGCTCTGTTTAGAACTCAGCAACCACTTACTCAGAGCCCTACCTCGTGACGGGGGCCACATAATTGCCAGGGAAGACCCCAATCTTGCTGGTGTGCATGGACGTGCCCTTGAACCAGCCGTCCTGGCAGCGCTCAAACACGAGAAACATCTCCCCCTTCCTCAGCTCTAGCTCATCCTCTTTCCGGGGGGTGTAGGGATAAATGGCAACATACCTAGAAGAGGAAAAAACAGTTGATTTCAAGCTGAGTAACACACAGACCACAAGATGCTCAAAACTCTTCTTTGGCACAAAGCCTTGGATGTTTCATACAAAAGTAAACAGAAAACACAATCCTTTAAGCTGTGAGCAGCCTTGGTCACTGTCCACTGAACTGCCACCTACATAGAAAAGACAGAAGCCTCCTGACTCAGAACTGCACACCTGGTCCTCCCGGTGTGAAGGCGACGATCCCTCCAAACGGTACTCGTGGGTGCGAAGGAATTAACGCAGCTTCCCAGGGTGCAAGCCTGCTGTGGGGCGTCAGGTGCCCATCTGAGCCCTTCAGATGGCCCTGGTCAGACTTGGGAAGCAGCCCCGGCAGGAACATACCGTCCGAAATCCCGCTGGGAAGCTCCGCACACGGCTGAACCCGAAGGCCGGCCGCACTCGCGTCCGTGCGCTCAGCCAGGGAAGACACGGAATTTGCAAGAGTCAAAGGCAAGGCGAGTGCAGATCGCAGAGAGCCCCCGACAGCTCCTCTGTGCGCGGGACTGCGCCCCAACACATGGAGCCCGCAGATCGCCGGGCCACATGAACCAGGCTCCGAGCGTCTCCTGGGTCAGTCCACACAGGGGAAAAGCCTCCAATGCCGAGCTGCATTCGGCCACGGGGAGCCCCTGGACGGGATAATGTCCAGACTTTTCACTGGAGGGGACCTGCGGCTTTTCACGCGCACACTCTGCTAGGTCTGGCCTCTGCTCAGCCCCTCCCCGTTCCCGAGCATCCTTACGCAGGGGATGAAGGTGGGGACAAAGCCCTGGCAGGAGTGGCAGAGGAAGGCCGGGAAGACCCGCACTCAGCAGGCCAGCTGCCCGGTGGCCCATCCTCAGACCCACTTAGTTTCTGTTTCCTAATGAATGACACGCACGACCAAGCATACGACACCACCCTGGCACCAGCGCCCCCCAGAAAGCCGTTCCCCGCGTCTCTGCTCGGGCTCAGTCCGTGGCCAGAAAGGACGCCACACTTACACGCTGGGGCGCGTCTGCGGCCGTGAGTGTGTGGTCTGGTCAGTGGGTCCAGCCACGGGTCTGGAGCCCATCCCGGGAGCAGCAACAGCGCCCATGGGGGTGGCCTCCTGGAGCGGGGGTGGGGGGAGAGGAGGATTCATAGTCTGGAGAGAGAGACAAAGAAGAAGCAAATGATTTATGCACATCTTTCACAGCAAGGAGGAGGCAAGAGGAACCAGAAACCCATGAAAAAAGACATCGGTGGAATCCACACAGAGCAGAAGCAGCTGCCCTGCGCACAAGCCTCCTTGGGCAAGAGTTCTCTGTGTTACCCTTTCAGATCTTAGAGCCACAGCGACCCCTTCCCCAAACAGGTAAGCCGTCACACCTGGGAGAAGGGCAAGAAAAAAATGACACAACTGTGCGCCATTTTAAGATTGATGGCTGCAAACCAGGACCAGGATCCAAATGCCTTTCAAGGGGGCGGCTATAATGTCACCCTGCTTGCTAGGAATTAATTTGTGATTGTTTCTGCAACCCGAAACTTAAAACACCACGGGAAACAATTTAGCTGCACTGTATCGCAGACCATCCCCGCAAAAGAAAATTTCCTTTGATGCCTGGTTTCCCAAAACCACACAAAATAGCAAGCCACAATCACTGGGCCGTTGTTTTTACTTTTGTTTATTCTCTTCTTAGCTCTGCCAGCTTTTGAAATTCAGGACTATCGAGGCTGGTAATCTTTAACAAGTACACCGTGAGCAGCTGCTGGTTCCTTTATGGGCTCTGCCTACAGGACTCCGTGCCTTTTCAGAATCAATGGAGCAATTGTTACCTTCTGATCTATACACCCCAGATAATTCTTTAGGGTCTGGGTACCGAAACTCCTGGGAAAACAGGCACACAAAGACCTACCCAAACCCCTACCTCGCCTGCCCTCCCCCAATCTTTGAACTATTCCACGTAAACACCGAATCAAAGGAGAAATAAGGAGGCTGAAGACTGCCCCTTGGGAGGTGTGCGTGGCGTCTCCACATCAGCTTAAAAGAAGAAAAAAACCCACGGTATCTAAACATAGGGGACAGCAATTTGTTTCTGTTTTTTGGGGGGAAAAAATTGAATCTCATCAACGTTTCCTTCACCTGCTTATTAATGTACACAGTTCCAGAAACAAAATCAACTGAGTAGAAGAGGATATCGAATTTCCAGACACATGCTGCAACCGTTTCACCCACTGTATTTAATTTCTCAACCTCGGAGGAGGCTTCTCCCACCCTGCAGCCGCGGCAGGACACCCAGCGCAGGACAAATGGCGCATTGCGGTCCCAGGGCGGGCGGGGTCATGGCGACACACACGGGGCCTGCAGCCTTTACCACCTTTAACCTGGAGAAGGCCAAGCACTCATGCCGCTGGTCTCAGAGACAACGTGGAGACAAATCGAGATAATCCTGGTAGATGACTCAGCACACATGACCCGGGCGGGTCCTGGGCAAGGACACTGAACAGAACAGCAGCCGGGAGGGTGTGAAATCACCCCCGAGTCGTCTCCTCCAGTCTCCCCAGGCCTCACCTCGGAGCCGTGGGGGGCAGGTGACACAGGGGACAAAAGGAGCCCAGGCCACCCACCCCTGGAATCACTCAGAGCAGAGGCAAGGGCTCACTAGGCTCCGAGTAGAATTCCACTGGCAAAGGGGGGAGAGGAAACCTGTCTGCTGCATCTTCACGTCAGTGACACGGAGGCTGTACTCAGCTGGCCCTACGCGGAAAAAGACGAAATAAAAAAGGAAAGACAATCTAGGGACCTGATAAAAACACAGGCTATGCTGGTGGTGACAAAATGTAAGAACACATCACCTCTTACAGCTAAAGAACGCAGTAAGGGAATGTTTGGTGTAGGTGACTTTTACAAAGGGTGAGTCAGGAGGCATCTGAGATCTGGCACAAGACAGGAGGGTCTCGAAGATTCCAAGGGTGGTGCTGCAGGCAGAACGCAGCTCTCCCTCTCACAGGTGGTGCTGGTAAAACTGGGCAGACTTCTCCCCATCGCTGGGCTGCGTATCTTCGGAGAAATGTGTGCGTTTGTGGGCGGATAAGCGCACAGAAAGACTAGCGATTACACTCAGGCTCCCCAGCGTGGCTGTCCCCTGGGGCCGGTCAGATGCCAGGGCCCCAGCGTGTCCAGGGCCGGGCCGGCCAGGAGGTCCCGTGGGCCGCTTGGTGAAGACACCACGCCGAGAGAATCTGGGGGCGTGGACGCGCGGGAGCGACCATGTCCTCCCGTCACTGCACGGCTGGGCACCGGGAGCCAGGACACACCCTCCTGCCGCAGCAAAGGCACCTGCGGCCTGCTGGGAGCGCAGGACACCTCTGGTCACAACAGCGTCCAGAAGCCAACACCACGCTTGTCACCGCCGTCACCAGACACTGATCTAAAGCAGCAGGGCTGGGAAGAGGGCCTGTGCTGAGCCGCGCAGAGGGGCTGAGGGCCAGGGGAGCGGGGCCGGACCTCCAGGGTCCAACAACGCAGGGGACCGGACGTTGGCCACACTGTCACTGAAGTGGGCCTCTGCTTGTGCTTCTGCAGATCCAGACCCTCTCCTATCCTCTCCACGGCGCAATGGTCTGAGGCCAGAACGACAGCCTCTGAATAATACTTTGCTTAAAACCAGGGCTCGGGGGGCAGGGTCTGTGGTGGGAAATGGTCACGTCTGCTCTGCCCAGGTTCTGTCCCCAACCCACTGATCTCTCGGAAGAGACAGCTTTACACCGTGGAGGACGCCTAGGGTTTGGGGTCAGAAACGCAGATCCTAGCTAGCCCCGGCTCAGCCTTTGAGGGCCGCCCTCGGGCTCCCCCTCCAAGAAAGAAGTGTCCTGGATGAGTGACCGGTTCCAGGCCGCCGATGGGCCACATCCGCTAGTGGACAGTGAGAGTTCAAGGCTGGACTGAGGCCCCCTCCTCTCTCCCCTCCCTGCACCCAGCCCCAAGGTGCCTGGGGGCCGAGCTCCACGAGGTCCTCACCCTGGGCGAGGGCTGCAGGCCGCTGACCAGGAAAGCGCTTTGCCTGGATGGAGCCTGGGGTTCTGACGGTAAAAGGTCCATGTTCTTTCCGACCACCCTTCACGTGTGCCCCTCCGTCTTCTCCAGGGTAGAAAAGTGGCTGCTGGCATAGACTGGGCATTTCTGGGTCCTCTGAGCGAAGGCCATTTAATATCCCCCAATCCTGTCATCACTGCTTCCTGAACATCCGATTCCAATGAACCCACTTTCAACCTCTCTCCAGGGTCTTCCTGTGCCATGAACTCACGCAGGTGCTTGGCCACCGAGGGGACAGCAGGAGGGGCGGCTGGTCATCCCTTCTCGGGGCAACAGTGCCACCAATTCCCACAGCATCACCGCCTGCACACGGCCACATGTGTGCAAATATTTGAGTATTCTGCCTTTTTTAAACAATGAGTAGGAAACAGAAAAATGCAAGCACTGATAACCAGCGATTCAAAAAAACACTCAGGTGTCAGAATTCAGTAAAATTAAGAAGATGGAAAAGTGAGTTTTTCATCTCATCTGGACACTCCCAGGAACTCAGTCAGTCACTCGTGGGCACAGCTATGAAGAAAAGAAAAAAAAGAGTATATTTAAAAATGTCAGAGACAGATGCTTGGAAGATGATGTCGGAAGGGGAGATGTAATTAAGAATTTGGTAGATTAAAAAAACCTCTCTGGGCTTCCCTGGTGGCGCAGTGGTTGAGAGTCCGCCTGCCGATGCAGGGGACATGGGTTTGTGCCCTGGTCTGGGAAGATCCCATGTGCCGCGGAGCGGCTGGGCCCGTGAGCCGTGGCCACTGGGCCTGCGCGTCCGGAGCCTGTGCTCCGCAACGGGAGAGCCCACAACAGTGAGGGGCCCGCGTACTGCAAAAAAAAAAAAAAAAAAAAACCTCTCTGGGAATGGACTTTCTCTCACCAATTGCCTTTGACGTGTGAGGAGACACACCCACACCACGCACTGACTTTGCAGAAATGACATCCGAGGGGTTCTCAGCAGCAGCAGGTCAGAGAAACGGCCCTTCCGGCGCCCCGGGCACAGCGGAGGCTCAGGATGGAGGCTGCTGTTAGAGGCTGCAGAGTCACAGACCGTCTCGCTGTCCTTGTGTCCCCATCACCCAGCTCTGTCCACGGGAGGTAACAGACCCTCAGCGAGGGCTTCAGGAATGAGAAAGCATCCCATGCGCCTGCCGCCCTCAGGGCAGTCTGATATGGATCAAGGGCCTTGGTTCCTGCGATGCCAGGGTCCTTCTCTGTGGTTGCCATGGAAGTTCTGTGTCCATATCCTGCCCCCATTCTGGTCGTCAGAACTGCTACCGATTCCAAACGCTTAACTTCTGCTTCTCACGCTGCCGAGCTGGGCGGTCCTGTCCCTACGTCCAGAATCCTGCCCTGACCCTCCGGACCCTCCCACCACGGGCAACAATGGACTCAGTACGTCTTGGCTATCCTGAGAACATGACATCATTTAATTTTGTTTCTTTAAGTGCGTGCACACACACACACACACACACACACACACACACACACACATATGCACACTCTTGTTTTAGTTATGGTTACACACTGTTGGGTGCAATCTGATTTCAACTTGGCCATGGACTGTATCTGGCCTTTTCTGACCTGGCTACCTTGTGACATCTTGTAGCTAAACACCTCTCAGCTGGTCCAGAGGGTCAGGGATCAGCCATCACTTGTTTCACAAGTTCACACTGTGCACAGGACACGAGAGCAAGCTGTTCATCCACCTCCCCTCACAGGATTAGCTGGGAAAAAACTCTCCCTGCCATGAATAGTCTGATGTCTGAATGAGATAGATGTAATACCAGTTTTGCTTCTATTATTAGATAGTTAACATTTTAACTGTTACTTCTGAGAGGTACAGGACAATATGCTCATAATTCCACTCTGAATAAAAGATTAAAAAGTCTCAACTTATGAAAAAAGTGCTGGAAATAACGTTCACGTCCTAGTCCAGCAGAGGTGCTTATCACCTAAAATCCACACCAGGAGACTTCCCTGGTGGTCCAGTGGGTAAGACTCCACGCTCCCAACGCAGGGGGCCCGGGTTCGATACCTAGTCGGGGAACTAGATCCTGCATGCACGCCGCAACTAAGACCCGGTGCAGCCAAAAGAAAGAAATAAATAATTAAAATAAATAAATAGGGGGCTTCCCTCATGGCGCAGTGGTTGAGCGTACGCCTGCCGATGCAGGGGACACGGGTTCATGCCCCGGTCCGGCAAGATCCCACATGCCGCAGAGCGGCTGAGCCCGTGAGCCGTGGCCACTGAGCCTGCGCGTCCGGAGCCTGTGCTCCGCAACGGGAGAGGCCACAGCAGTGAGAGGCCTGCATAACGCAAAAATAAATAAATAAATAAAAATAAATAAATAAAATAAAATCCACACCAGGAAAAGCCTGGTTTCTTTCCCACCATGCCGCCTACGCTTGCTGTGATCGCACTCAAAGTCTTGGGAAAGGTTTCACATTTTAAACAGGATACTTGCCAGGTTGATGGAAGACACAGAGGGTACATGTTACCGAGATTTTTCCACTTAAACCTGACATATTAAATCCAAAG